CCAAGACAACTTCATCCTTACTTACAACTCCTGTAAAGGGGCAATATTTTAGTTCAGCTGTGCAATGATATTATATCTTTTACAAATTTCAATCAAAATTGTAACAGAGAAGACTAAAAGCCATAAATAGTTCCATTATCTTACTGCATTTCATAACATATGTTTACATGCATTAAATTCTTTAATAATTTGGAATGTATACCTGTTGCTAGGCAACAACCGTGAAACAGACAACTAGACAACGGATGTTACAGGCAACAACCTGTAAACAATAACAAAGGAACGGCGTTTTCTGTGCAGTTTGTGCTGAGATGTTATAAGCAGACAGTTAGTGAGGAGTGAGTTCAGTCAGTCAGTGAAGTGATGAATTGGTTGGTGAGTGAGTGAATGTGAGTTTGAGGACTGCTGTGATTCAGTTGTTGTGAGCTATAGCTGTGAGAAGCTAGTAGCTGAGGCTGGGAATAGTTTGGGAATCCAGAGGAAGGGGCAAGTACACCATTGGAAGCCGCTACCAAGCAAAGGTTAGCAGAGACTGTAACAGACTGAGAACACTAGTCTGTGTGTGACAGCAATTTCTAAAGTGTAGTCATGAGTTGTGTGTTAAAAGAGTTCAGTAAATCCAATTACCAATCCAAATCCCATCTACAGTTACTCTATCACATGAAAGTAGTAATTTGAGAATGCCAATGTGTAAGCATTTTAAAACAATGATAATTCCATGAATGAGTTATGCTATTTATAACATGGTAGGTGCTTGCCAATCTAGAATTGATCTCCACAGATCAATCCTTGAAGTATGATTTTCAGAATGCTCTTGTATGATGAAAATGGTGCCCATCAAAATCTATAAAAATCATCACCCATATGTGTATAAAGTTCCATAGCCCTTACAGGCAAAGTTCAAACATATAGCCTTTGTGGGTGGCATTGCAAGGATGTATTTCATTTACATATAATATTCATCAGCTTTTCAATAGTATGCAATGTTTTACCAGTAGAGCATATATGACAGTGAGACAGCCACAGGCTGGATGTTTTTGAAGATGTATACTTAACAGATATCATCACTAGAGAACACTATGTTTCAGAAAGTGTATCTGTTTCTTCCACTAGAACCCTTTGGAATCAACAAATGAAATGTAAGGTTTGAGGCTTTCATGGCAGTGACTATGAAGAAAGCAGTTTTCTGGGATTTGGCACCATGTATATGTATATCCAATTTGCTCCAGCCAGTCAAAGATAGCCTGGGCCTAAGGACACCGGGTGTATACAGTATCCCATGCAAGTGCAGCAAGGTCTATATTGGGCAGACAGGCCGCTCCGTGGACATGAGGTTGAAGGAGCATCAGCAGCACATCCGTCTTGAACATCCGCACAAGTCGGCCGTAGCTGAACACAGCATCGATCTGGGACACCGTATTCAGCTTCAGAATACCTCCATCCTCGCCACCAAGACCCGCTATATGGATTGCATCATTAGGGAAGCCATTGAGATTGAACTCCATCCCGAAAATACGAACAGAGAGGGGGGGTTTTGTCTCAGCAAGCCATGGAAGCCTCTCATCTGTTCTCTTAAAAACCCCCCNATTTCTTATATTTTTCCTTCTACCGTGAAGATGGAGGCGATAAGTTCCTCCAAAACGTCGGTTAACACAACATATACACTGTGCAAAATCCCAGAAGACTGCTTTCTTCAACAAATGAAATGTTGTGTCTGATCAAGAATTTCATTATGTAGAAAAATCAGTGAGTTTGTGCACCATTATGATGCAATATCCACAAGCCTGATACCCATTTCCCAAGTAGTTTTTGTTAATTTCTATCTGTTAGATGTTTCAGAACATCTAAATAAAACACATATTGATTACCTATCATTCATTGTTACTTTCGCCATAAACACGAAAGATTAATTCTCTTGAGTGATAGATGATGGTCAAAAAGGGCTTGGATCATCTTCTATTTGCATGGAATGTTATGTTAAAATGTGGCTGAGACTTTCTTCTCCAGTGCAGATTTAAGTATTTTTTTTGGTTCCTGTGGCTGACTTCCAAAGTTTCACACCAACAATTCCATGTGATCAATCATTTCATAGTGATAGCCCTTAGGAACACACGTATACTTGTACAAGTACGAGTATTTTATACTCACATTTTACACATGACTTTCTTCCAGCTATGGTGAAGTCAGAAAAAGATGTCAATTACATCTGTTGTTTACTACTCCTATAGGCGCATTATAGACTTCATCAGTCTCATAACTGTATTATAAGCCTATGTGTGCTAATAATATGAATGAAGATCTTGCAAGAAGATGCTGGAATCTCTGTAGCACCATTAACTTAATGTACTGTAAATTATGGGGAGATTATTTTATAAACAGGAAACTTCTTTGGCTATGTGTGTATAGCCTTCATTTTATGTGTTGTCTCCTACAGGTGTGTAGACACTGAACAAGTTGACTTAAGAGATTACAATTATTATCATTCTTGGTGGGGTAAGACTGAGTCCACTTGGTACTGCTGCCACTACTGGCCTATTGTACCAGATCTAGATGATGATGGTGACTGTGGAGGAATTTGTGGAATAAAGATTGGCAGGGGAAACTGAAGCACTTGGTGAAAATACACCCCAGTGACATTTCGTCCACCACAAATCCCATATGACCTGACCCAGGCTCAAACCTGGGTTGCCACAGTGGGAAACAAGTGACTAACTGCCTGAGCTATGGCACAGCCTTGACTTAAGAGATAACATTTTTGGCTTGTACTCGGAAGGGGCATGGTTTGAATCTTTACTGGGGCACTAGCTATCATGAGTGAGCTTCTCATGATTTTTCTGAGTTCCTCCAGGCAAATGCTGGGATATCACCTTAACACAGGCCACAAATGCTTCCTTTCACATCTTTCTCAACTTATTATTCGTGAAAATCCAATCATTTGACGTTTGCTATATAGTGTGAGTTACTGACAGCATTATTAAATAATGCATTTTGCCCAAATACATTATGGGCTACAAGTTCAGCACACAGGAAACATACAGTCACAATTTGAACAGGCCTCTGTAATCTCCTTGTAACCTACAGATGATATATTTACTGTTACATGAAGGAAAGGAATTGTATAACTTCCACATACAATTTATTACAGAGACATCATCCATTTTACATAAACTAAAGCACTTAAAATGCCTGTAGGTTCAACAGTTTCACTTGCAGTCTAATATAAATTTCTCACTAGATTTTTTCCTGCAATGAATTTACATTCATTCCCAACAATCTGTTTTCTTTGCTTCTTGTCCATTTTTACAATTTACAAAATTGTCATTAGCCATTCTGTAAGAACACATGTTTTTGTACCACCATGAAAATACAGAAAATTGAAATTGTTAGTTTTTATTGCTTGCCACATAGATTAAGAAGCTGTTGCAACAAAGACCACTGTTATATTTAGCAAGCGGGTCTTTGGTAATTAAAAAAGAAAGAATATGTTATTACCAAAGCAAAATTTAACACCTTCATCCAGAGGAATAACTATTAATTGTTTTCACTACCTTCTTATAGAAGAAATATAATTACACTAATTTCCAATGTTACAAATGGAAAGCTAAAAACTGACTTCCATGTGGGTGGCATTAATGTGAGTGTCATTAGACATAAACTTTTCTAAATGTTGCATAGATACCAAGGCATACTGCTTAAAGCAGAAGAAAATTCAGAATGGGATGACATGTTCACATTCCACCATGACACAATCAAAGACTTTCATGTAAACCCAAGGCAACTGCAGTTGAAACAAGAATAATACAGTTACAGAGAATATTTTGGCTCACAAAATGTTGATAACTCCCAATTGTAGTTTCTGCTTTCCATGATGGAAACATATTTCAATTGTTTGTCATATCATTTAAATGGAATATTTTGTTGCCAGAAGACCACTTGATATCACTATCTTCTAATCTTTAAAGTAACAGCATAAGGAGTTGTGCTGTTTCCAAAAAGCTAAATATTTTGAATTGTAGTATAATACAGTTGTTATTGGTTTTGTTTGTTTTTGTTTGTAGTGATATTTACATTCTGTATTACAAAAATGTATCACTTTACCCTTGCATTTGGCATACACTTGTGTAAAAATTTGTGAAAGAGTTAGGTAGCAGCTAAGCAGTGCACCATAGAGAAAAAATTACATTTGTGTGTGCTGACAATACTCACTGTTATACTGATCTTTATTTTGTGGATCATCACCTCTTTCTTGATAGTATGACAGAAAACATCAAATGTGGCACAGTATTAAGCATCTTATAATTTCCATTCTATATGAATAAGGTCCCCAGTAGTGTTCTTTTTATCTGAATGCATAAAACACTTTTTGACACAGCCACTAATGCTTTATGAACTCAGTTTTTAGTGATGCCCCTACAGGTAAAGGTATTTTTCTTCCCTTACGCTTATTTTAATTGTTATACTAAATTCTGCCAAATTTCAACCACATATTTTCATGTGTCATGCATACTATGCTCAAGTCAGCAATATAAATATGGCTGGTGTGGATGAAAGTCAGCTGTCTGCTCCACAATCATCCTATAGTACATACCTCCCCTCTGTTAACACTAATAACAAATGTAGAACACAGACAGCCTGTAAACGAAATGAAAGCTGGCAGGAATGGGGGAAAGGGAGAACAGCAGAGTAGCTGCTATGTAAGTGGTACAATAGGTGGTACTGTGTGTCAACCTGTATGCAGATTTCATCTCTGAAACTGATACAGTTTAACTAAATGTGGTGTAAAAGTAAAAGGTAAAACTGTCCCTGTGCTTAACTAATTAAGCACTATGCCATGAAGGGAGTGGATGTATAGATCCACATTTTCTTGACCTTAGCACTAGCTGGAGGTCAGTGGTCAGCTTCTCACCCCAGCTGCTTTACCCCCGGAGAAAGAGCGCCCGGTACCCATTGGATAGGAGGTTATGTGGACCCCAGAGCCAGTCTGGGCAATGCAGAGAAGAGAAAATTCTTGACCGCAGAGGGACTCGAACTCCTACCCTTTGGTCGTCCAGCCCATAGCCAGTCACTATACTTACTACACTGTCCCAGGTACATACAAAATCAAATTTCTTTGTTCATGACTGCAAGTGGATAGGTACTTCACAGAAATTGACATGTCACAAATGTGCCTGAACACCTAGGTCACATTGTCTGTCTATGAAACAACAGCTAATTTGTGCTTAAATGTTTAATTTAAGTACAACATGAACAATTCTAAGTATTCAGGCTTGTTTTTTTTTTCATGTTTGTGGTTTTTCATTTTTATTTATACACTGAATCCCTTTCAATTTATTTATTTTGAAGGTTGATTTTAGTTTCCGCCTACTGTAGCTATAATTTTTAACTTGTATGGAGGAAGTACTGGGAAAAGATAAGTAATCAGCAAGCATTATTGGTGGGTGACTTTCTCTGCACTCTTTCTTGCACTGAACAGCTTCTTGCTTTCTGTATGATTTTGTGCCTCTATCTATGCAGTTTATGTCCATAGAAATTTGTGTCAAAGACCTTTGAAACCAACTGAAATTTATCGTTATTTAACTAATGAACAGGGGTACACGCTAGCATAGCTAGCCAAAGTACTACGCCTCAAGTTGGATGATCACAGGTTCAAGTCCCAATAACGTGGTTCTTTTCAATTTACCCAATTCTTCCAGCCGCACCATGGTCCTGGGGTTGACCTAGCCTGCAACAGAAATGAGTACCAGGAATCCTCCTTGGGGGAAAGGGCGACCAGCACACAAGGCTGACAACCCCACTGCCATCTGTGAGAAGATTTTCTATGGAAAATATGGGATCCCCAGTGTCTCACAACCCTATGGGCCTCGATGGCCTGCCTTACCTTAAGTAAGGAACAACCCCCTACCAAAGCTTTCAAGGGTTTTGAGGTCAACCCCAGAGACCATATCTAACAGCGCGTACAAGGCAAATTTTATTTGCATATTGCAATGACACAACCATCAGCCAACAGGTAGAATTTACACAGACACATACATACAGACAGGAGGGGGAGAGGGTCTAAGTGACTTACATATGGGGTTTGTCTGACTGGTAGAAGTGCAGATTAGTAGGTTGTTGCCAGTGTTCTGGAGAAGAAGATGGAGGCAGTAGGTTCCTTTGGTGCATCTAAAACCATCTACTAAACTGGATTATCATAACTCAGATGATCCAGTCTTAATTCTCACCACTATGACACCCTCAAATCTCATATGCATCATTCAGAATGTCATTGCCATTCTTCAAATGGAATTACATTTAGTGAAAACTCGAATATTAAAAATTGGTTGGAACTTTGGTGAAATTCTGTAATGAGACATTGACATGGGGTAACAGAGACAATGAAAAAGAATTCAGAAAGCGAGAAATAAATTTACACAGCTGCTTCGTACATTTTCCTTGCTGCTTACAGTTGCCTCAGGACACAGTTTAGATGTATGCAGTTGGCTGGACTGGTACTCCTCATGCTGATCTAATGAAACGCAGGACTATCTGTGGCGATCTGTGAGCTGACTGTCTAGAGAAAATGTGGGAGCCTTGATGTCTCACAGGCCAATTAAATGTGATGCTGGTATTTTATTCTAAAATCTATCAGATGAACATAATTTACCACACTTCAGCCCAATAAAACCTCTACTTTACATGAAGATCAAGCTAAGCTTATCACTTTCTTCTTAAAAAATAAAATAGAAATACAAAGACAATTACCTTATGATTTTATTGAATAATATCAAGGGCACACGCTGAATGAAAAATCAATTTACAGATGATATGCTTTTACAATACAGTTTAGTCAATTAAAACATAGTATAATTTCTGCTCAACTGATCCAGTGACCTCCTAACCGATATTTCAAGAGATCAACTATGTTGTCTAGTACCTGAATCTAAATGACCAAATAGTTAAGACTATCTGGAGAAGTTGAAGAAGTCAAAAGTTATGTCACAGCTGTCATGCATTTAAACATGCCCAGAAATCAGGTTAGTTTTAAATGTGAAATCTTCAATAGACAGCAGCATAAAATATTAGAGAATAGCACCAGCCTCATAATGGCTGCAGTCTACACGTAATTTTTAATCTTTTTCTTTTAGATCTTGAAATGGTTTATCTGATTTGGAGCTGTTCTACGTTTTAGTACTCATTACAGATGCATGATCCTACAGTCCTATTACACTGGGCATACTAATGGGTCAATATCTGTTACAAAACTGTTGTCTGGGAAGTATATTGGTGAGAAAGTAGCAACATACCATCCTACCCTACTTCACACACAATATTTAGTGGAATCTTAAATATAAACTGGTGAAAGAATTTAATTGAGAAGGGATTATGATCATTAGTGATATATTTTACATTGTCTTAAAATTTCTCTCTTTTGCTAATGGGTTTGTGTGTCAATGAAATATGTCCAGAAGTTGTTATGATACCAATTAAAATTCTGATAGGAATTGTTTAATTCTCAGTTTCATGAACAGCACAGATATAATGTACTGGAGAGAAATATCAAAAATCTGCAAATTTTACAGCAATCACAATCTTAATTTACAGGAAATAAGGTATAGGCAGAGCCTAAGTGATTGATCCTAAGATCCCAGTGCAAACAGTCAACTATGGATATGATTCAGACTTGTTAGGAAAACTATGACAGCTCCCACAGTGAAATACTGTTCATGTACTTGGTGATAAAATTATATACAGACCAGCAATTCAATGCCAGTGCAAGCTTTTAATTATACACTGCTCTGACTTTCATGTCTACCTGTTAATATGCAGTGAAACACCCATGTTCTTCTGTTTAAGCTTTTCGTCATTTAACTTTCAATTTCAATGATCTCGCATCCTTAATCTGAGTGCTCCACTTAAGATTTTCCTTGATTTCACATGCAAAACCACTACTCCCCCCAAAATTGTGTGGGTTCCACTATGTGATTTACTTCATTGAATTTTTAGTTCGTGAAAAGTGTGCATGTTCACTAACTCACTAACACACACACACACACACACCCATGATTACTATTTTCTTGGATGTAACGCCATGTAATTTGGTAGATATGTACCATAATTCTGGAAGAACGTTGGTACCTGCCTACAAAACTATACATCACATCTCAGAAGACAACAATTTTCACTGTCACCAACTTCAGAACCTGAAATCTCACAATGCACACACAAAATCTGGGAGATCAAGGGCAATACCAAAATCATACTGCCCCATATATCCTCCTCATTGTAAGCCTTTCTATTGCAAACTTACTTGGAGACTGATATTTTCTCTTCTTGTAGCGGCTGCTAGTACTTGTTATAGAGGCAGTATTGTCCAAGGTGGAAGAGGGTGCAGTGTATGAGCCAGTAGGTGTTTGGGATGAAGCTGCATTCCCCACAGTGCACTGCTTAGTGCCACGACAGGCTTTAAGTTGTGCCAACTGATCTTGCAGGTATGACCGTTCCACATCCGTCAATGCATGTACACGGTTCCATTGCTCAAACGGATCTTCAAACAAATATAGTGATCATGTTTTTTTGGATCTGTTTTAATGTGATTCCTTGCCTGACTCATAGACTAACATTTTCCACTTTACTTGAGGATCATAAAATTTTAGCAAATAGCAATGGACTAAACTATGTCAGAAATGGTGAGTCAGTGGCACCACTACCAAGTGTGGCAATTGGCTGAATTTGGGCTGGCCCCACTGATTACAGGTTTTGTCTATATTAACACCCAGACAAATTTGATAATCCTGATGTTCACCAAACAACAATTTTTTGCATAAACAATATTCTTGATGTTATTTTCTTTCCAACCCAAATACTGAAATTGTGGGTATCTGGGAAAGAAAGTTAGCAGAAAGCAACATTGTATCTTCTTTTTGGTACTGTTAGTTACCAATTATGCTCATGAGAGAAGTACATAAAATCAGAGTTAAGAACTTACCCAACAAAAAATTAATGTCACTTCAAAACAATCACAGACAGTCCATGAAATGATGAACTGTTCAAATGCATGCAGCAGCAGATATCTCATAAAGGCTGTCAAACGGTACTGTAGCATCAAGGAAGCTAGTACCATGTTATTGGTAAGCAACTTCACGTGTAAATATAGTACCATGCAGCAAATGAGTTCATATTTCCTATACTACAGCTTTGTTTCTTCTTAACTTAGGAGGCTACAGTAATATTTAACAGTTAATCCTCCACTCATAAGGTCCCTGATCATCTGCTGAGATTTATGGATTTTTTGTTCAGGTTTCATGGTTTACTTCATGTAGCTATCAGTAACTAAGACTCTATAGTATCAAATGGTAGGGTGACTGGTGAATAATGAATCGGAAAGAACGTTAAAGAATACAGTCTTGTCTTAGTTAAGATAATAAACTGGCATTTGCTTGAAGCTACTGAAGGAAACCATGCAAAATCTCAAGTCAGGACAGCTGGCATCCTAGCCAAGATTCAAACCTAGCACCTCCCAGACAGATGTCAAGAGTGGTACTGCTACACAGACCTGCTGAGTGGGAATATATGGTATGTTCTTCACATTCTTACATTTCAATCATTGTAATCAAATCTGCTCTATAGCACATCACCTAATTCAAGGCTCAAAAAAGTTTAAAAAGCTGTGACTTCTTGTTACCATTCTGGCATTCAGATTTCAGCTTAAACACATGGGAAAATCAAAAGCCTATCTGTTCAAAACATGTCATCAGTAGAAATGTTTGTGATTGGCATTATTAGTGATATGAAACTGATCACAGTTCTAGTACAGGGTGCTAGTACTGTTGTGATACAGGTGTATTATATATTAAGAAAATAGATTTTATATTACTATATTAAGGATCTTGGTGGTCTTTTGATCATGTATGTAATTTTAAATGTTATTTTGATACATGGAATGTATTGCTGTACAGTAGCTTTGTTGTATTGAGTATTTAAATTTTGACGATGATGATGACTATCTGATTATGTATGTATATTTATATGTTACATTGTATTATTGACTTGTTCTATATCTGAGGCAGATGCCTCTATGGATTTTTTGGAACTATAAATAAATGAATGAATGAATGAATATAGGAGATCCAATTATGGTGGGTTACCTTAACCCAAACGCATGCTGTAAAATACTTTATTCATGTGCCTGAATGTATCAAGAATAGAAAATATGTTGAATATGATCATAGAAAACATTGTGAGAAACAGTACCGAGTTTCGGGGATAACTGAATTGTATTGTATTTATTACACGTTCCAGCACATCCATACAAGGCCGAAGCCATTGGATACAGAACCTATATGCATGAATGTATTTTGTCATGGAGTATAATTTCTATGAATACAATTTGTATTTTATAATAGCATACTAAAAATAATGTATTTCCCATTTTTCTTTCCGCTTCTTTAATTTCTCTTCTGAGTCTGAAGTTTTGGAAGTCGCATCTGCATCCTTAGGAAATCTGTTGATGATTAATCTAATTCTTAACCCTTATAAACATCATCATAACTCCAAACTCCTAAGGATTTAAAAAAAATGCAGTAAAACATTATTGTGTTTAGTTTATATAGCCATGACTAAAGCAAGTGTTAATGATCCACTATTTTTTAATTTAATAACCAGAAATTTCAGAGAATAGAATCTCAAATTGGTTTTACTGAGTAATCAAATACTGCACAGAAAAATAAACAAATGTAAGAATTACAGATGCTGAAACGATAATTACTTGCTGAACAGTGGAATTTGATTGGATGGGTCACAGAATAAATGGAGACATACTGAAATAATTAAAAATGGAACCCATGTCAAACAAAATTTCGATATACAAAATGAAATGGAATCAATATGTGGACAGAATGCAAAGAAACAGACTTGCAAAAGTATTATAAAATTACCAGCCACATGTATCAAGTAACCAGGTAAGACTTTTGAAGAAAATACTGGATGAATAAGGCCAGATTACTTCAACAAGGTGACCTAACTGCCAGACTGTTAGACTGATTATTAAGGTAAAATCCTCCCTCTGCTTAACTAATTAAGCACTATGATATGAAGGTGTATGGAGCAGTGGATGTATAAATCCACATTTTCTTGACATCAGCACTAGTTGGAGGTGAGTGGTCAGCTTCACACTCCTGCTTTACACCTGGGGAAAGAATCTCCTGTTACCTATTGGATAGGAGGTTGGGTGGACCCCAGAACCAGTCTGGATAACATGAAGAAGAGAAAATTCTTCCACATTAGACTTTTTATTATTATTATTATTATTATTATTAATGAATGATGATGGTGATAGTGAGGATTGTGATGACAACAGTAATAAATGTAAGTTTATGTCCACTGTAACCAAAGCAAATTTGGGTTATTCTTCTTGACCAAATTCTGTAAGCATATATAAATGTACTATATCAAATGATTGATTGGATGGAAGAAACAATTATACATGCAAATTATTCATCATCTTACCGATTCGGAGATTATAGAATGTGACAAGACCTGTGACAAATTCACAGTAGAGGAAATTATGAGTTGCATTGATGGTCCTCAGACATGAGTATGTATTGTTGTTGGCATTCATGCAGAAGCAGAAGGGACCCTCTAGAACAAATATGTCATTAAATCTGTTACTATTTTAAGTAACATATAATCTTAAAGAATTTAATTTACAATTATGAAACAGTAAATGTGAACTTTCAGCAGAGACTTTAATTTATATATAATATCTGTTCTACTGCTTCTGAGGTTACCTCTCTCCTTGTATTTTCTGTTTCAGACAATCTGTAAGAAGTACTGGATAATTTGTAGACTTGAAGAACAAGTGCACATACAATACTCAGCAATTACTTAAATTCAAATTGCAGAATTTGCAAGAAATATAACATTTTTCACATTACATTTTTTAATAATTCTCAATGCATTAACCTGCAATAGGTTTGAACATTATACTACAAAAAATTAAAAGCAGGGCCGTGCCATAGCTCAAGCGGTTAGTTGCTGGCTTCCCACCGCGGCAGCCCGGGTTCGATCCTGGTTCTGGACAACTGGGATTTGTGGTGGACAAAGTGGCGCTGGGGCAGGTTTTCTCCGAGTACTTTGGTTTCCCCTGCCAATCTTCATTTCACTAATTGCTCCACAATCACCCTCGCCTATCATCTGGGGCTAGTACAATAGGCCAGAAGTGGCCGCAGTACAAGGGACTTAGTCCCACCCCACTAGCAATAAAAAAAGATTAAAAGCACAATTTTTCAAAGTTTTTAACAAAAGTATGCTCTGTATATCCACTTTTTATACCTACTTGAAATCAAAATTTTACATATATATCAAGTGTAATATTTTTGCAGAAATATTTTAAGTTTATATTGCAATCATGTGGGTTAGGACACCATTTAGTCTGGAAAGCATGTACCAATGTTTTGGAAGAATATCTACTTGACTCACTTTAATCATGACCCATAATACCACATGAATCTTCACAGCAATAAAAATCTCAAATCTTAAAATATTTTAGTTATTTGTTATACAACATCTTAGAGAAAATTAAATCAGTGTCAGAACTTGACACTAGTAGTAAAGCTTTTTTCATATGAAACATGGTTGCCATTATAATTACTCCAATGTGCAAATATAAGCCTATAATATCATTATTATTAAAATGCATATTTGATCTAAACAAATTAGTTTGATTCTCAAAACTGCTTGTCACGTTTAACAGAACATGATTTTAGAAACAGTAGTTCAGGCAAATTTAAAATTTATTTTTTTTAACTTTAAATTATAATATGACACCTGTTCCAAAGCTGTCCCTTTGTCAAACTACTGAGATTGGACATGTCAGTAAGGCATAGAATTCTAAATTTACATAAACCTAGAACTTCAACTAAATTTCAAACACAACATAATTTGAGACCATCCATCTTTACATAGGAATAAGAATACCTGAACATCACATTCTGCTAATTCATGAGACTATACTCAACTACAGAATAGAATGCTGTGATAGAAAGGATCTGATATCACTCTTGAAATGCTACACTTAGTCCAGCTTCTTAATTTGAATTGAACTCCAGTATGTGTTCACATATTTTTGCTGTTTACTGATGAAAAAATAAAAATACAGTACTATCATCTCCATGTGAACATATATTTGTTTTCCATTATATTGTCATGAGACATAAGCACTGGGGGATTACATCACCTGGCCTGTCCATGACTCTTGCAACATCTGGAATGCTCATGAAAACTGCTCAGCTGACATGCTTACAAACATGCTAGAATCTTCCCTATAAGTGATAAGTCTATAAGAGTCGGTTTGTAAATCAGTTAGGGAATCAGTCACTGTTCACCTCAGTGTAGTGGGGAATGCAGGAAGTGAGCAATGGTACTGACATGAAGTAACAAATGGACAGAGAAGTGCATAAGTGGTACTGGATAGTGGGACAGTAAATGCACCAAATACTGATTAATTATTAAACATCTCTATGTGGTTTTGCAAATTCAAATAGAAGCAATGGAATGTGTTCCATCTATGATTTGTTTTATCTAAGTGGTCAAGTTACAAAGTGTTATATTTTAAAATCTTCATTAAAGAACAAAGTTCCATTTGTTGCATTGGTTAAGTTACAAATAAGATAGACTATGCACAATATATGTACAATAGTCAGATCTTCAGTTTTGGTCATCATGATGAAAACACACAAAACTGTTCTGGTGAACAGTCAAAGGGTTAATACAGTGAAGTCACAGATGTCAACAGTGTTTCACAAGGACTTTGAAGTATGTCTATCCCAAACTATGGTGTTTGGTATTCAAATAAATATTACAATTAAACTTTCACTCTTTTGTCTTTATTACCTGTCCACAGAGGTTCTGTCTTCCAATGATCATTATCATGATTGAAACAATTCATTTTCTCTGCCAGACATTCTTTCTCCAGCTTTGCTTTTTTCTTCAGCTTTCGTTCTTTCTTCTTCAGTCTTTCTTCTTTAATTCTTCGACGGGCTTCTTTTGCAATTTCCTTCTCCTCACGCCTTGTGAGACTGAAATTTATAAATGATGTGCATGGGATTACTTCATCCTGTATAATATGATATGAATGGTATGAAGACTAAAGACATCTCATCTCGCAAGAAGAATAGAGCAGGTTTCTGAATAAAAATGACTGACATTAATTTCTGATGCTTATTATCTTCTTGAGTTTATTCAACTCATTCCCAGTTATTAAGGTAAAGATAGCTGTAGTGAAAAGATTGGTGACTGTCATGGCTGCAGTTCTGATGATGATGGTTGTGGTGATCATGGTGGTGGCTGTGATGATTTTGGCGGTTGTTTTGTGCATGGAAATACTTTTAGAAATGATGATGGCACTTAAGAAGAAGAGGAAGGGAGGAGGAAGAGAAAAAGAAGATGAAGTTATTACAACAGTACTCTGTAGAGCCCTCTAACATAGTACTAGACATTTAAAAATGCAGGGTTTATCCCCATCTTGTTGACTAGTATGTTATTCATACAGGGAACGTAGTCCACTCACTGATCAAAGTTCTTGCTGCCAAAAATTATATTCATTTTGACACATAATGAGCACTATATGTGCTATATGTGCGAATACTTCCACAATTCATGAATATTACTACAAAACACCTGTGTCATCCAGGACTGTGTGCATATTGTAGCTTGTAGACCCATTGCTAAATAATGACTCCGTGAACAACATCCACTGCTAGGCAAAACAGATTCTTAAAAAGCAACAATTGAACAGCAACAGAGGTAACTGAGGCACAAGAATAGTTCGGAAACCCCAAAGTAGGGCAACATCTGCCTTTGGAAGATGTTACCAGACAATGACTGGTGAAGACACAGCAGACTGTGAAGACTTAGTATGTGCTGTAGTGAACTGCAGATTATATGAATTAGCAATAGTGCTTAGTTACTTCTAGTTACCATCCAGAATCGCCAATCCAAACCCTCTCTATAATCATTCATACCCTTGACAACTGATATCAGAAGTGGGATGGATTGGAAACTGCACTGGATCGTAACAACTGGTGTCAGAAGTGGTTGGATTGGAGACTGCAGTAAGAAGCTATATCGCCACACTATGGAGATGGAACAAATAATGGCACACCTTCTGGCTGAAATAAAAACCAACCAAGAACACCTGAAAGAAGAAATAAGGGCCAGTCAAGAACTCCTGAAAGAAAAACTGCTGGCCAAGATGGAAACCAACCAAGAAAAGGTGATGGGCAAAGTTAGATGCCCATCATGAAAGGATGTTGGCCAGGGTGGTCTCCCAACCAGATAAAATGGACGTCGTGGTGGATGTCTTCAAATAAAGGTCGAAGGAAATGGACACAACAGATATGGAGGCTAATTGAGAAAAGTTGGAGGATATAATGGCGCCTCAGGAAGTCCATAAGGAAGAGGCCATGGTGGAAACTAGAGAACTGCTATAGCGATATGGGGACTGACCTTTGGTCATAGGGCACCGCCGACAGCCGAGAAATGGACCCAGGGTGATGGTGCGTCCTGGAAGAAGTTGGCTGCCACCTGCAGCCAGACAACCCGCTGTGCCATTCTTGCACGGTATAGGGGACGTGGTCATAAAGGGTGGACGGTTGAGAAGTGAAGATAGAATGGCCCTGAATGCAACAATGCCATAAGGAACAGAGGTCTGAAACAGCAGCTGTGCCAGGGAAGCAAGGAGATATTTTACGAGGCCCTTGGACAAACCATTGGGCTGAAGGTCATGGAAGGGCACTGTCAGGTCTTCTGTGAGGATTCGAAAAATGACTTGTAGAATATTGTGTAACAGTTACCCTCTCTGAAACACAAGACAAGGGTACTAGCAGCTTAAGAGCCAGAGATGCTGGAGCACTGACCACTTTTGGAACTTATGCCAGCAGCAACCAAAAAGGAACCCTAGATTGAGGTTGATAGTGGTACACCTGGACCAGTTTGCACATTATTATGGAGCTGCTCAGGAGGAGTGGCCTTAAGGAGAGAACAGCAGGAGTAGTTGGAGAGTAATCACCATGGGAACAAAGCCACAGGGAAGAAAGGCTAAGCTGATCACAGCCCTCAGAATAGAAGAAATGACAGTAGACCAAATAGTTTTCAGGAGGCATGCAGACCCATTGCTAATTAATGATTTTGTAAACAAGCCCATTGCTAGGCAACAGTTTCCTAACAAGCAACAATTGAACAGCAATAGAGGCATGGTGTTTTCTGTGCGGTCCATGCACAGATGTTTTAAGCAGAACAATTAGTTAGAGTTAGTGTGTGCAGTGGCCGCGCCATAGCTCAAGCGGTTAGTCACTGGCTTCCCACCACGGCAGCCCGGGTTCGATCCCGGGTCTGGTCAAGTGGGATTTGTGGTGGACAAAGTGGCACTGGGGCAGGTTTTCTCTGAGTAATCCGGTTTCCCCTGGCAATCTTCATTCCACCAATTGCTCCACAGTGACCCTCACCTATCATCTGGAGCTGGTACAATAAGCCAGAAGTGGCTGCAGTACAAGGGACTTAGTCCCACCCCACTAGCAATAAAAAAAATAGTGTGTGCAGAGCAGGGAAGTGAAGAGTTGGTTTGTGAGTTAGTGAGTTAGTCAGAGAACTGGAGTTCAGTCATTGTGAGCTGTTGCTGTTAGAAGCTGGTAACTGAGGCACAGGGAACATCCACCATTAAAGCCATTATCAGGTAACAACTGGGGAAGACACAGCAGACTCTGAAGACTTTGTATGTGCTCTAGTGAATTGCAGAGTGTGTGAATTAGTGATAGCACTGTAGTTACTTGTAGTTATGATCTGGAAGTGTTCAATAAATTGAGTCACCAATCCAAACCCTGTTTAGAGTCACTCATACATGTGACAATATGTTTATCCTGATGGTTACATTTAAAAATGTTGACTTGAAACTAAAATTCTAATGTATATGTTGGGTCTGAAGTTCTCATGGTGATGATTAGGAAGAGTACAGTGTTCTAGTTTGTAATGCTACATATTTCAGAAAGACCAAATACTGTGTCAGAACAGATGACCTCACTCTTTAGGGTTGAGAACTCGAGCAAGATATCAGTAGAAGCAGGAAATAAAGTTGATTCCAGCTGAGCTAAACTTGCCATCTGCTTCTCCTAGTTTTTTACTCTGTGACTCTAAAGATGGGGAAAATACATTCCTCTGAAATATCACTCTCTCTCCAAACAACACATTACAACCCAAGAGAGTGTACTCCTCTTATAACAAATTTATTCATTTTTACATTAAAGTGTCTCACTTTCTCTCAACACTTACATCAGTTACTATGGAGCCTGTGTGAACCTATTTTCTAATATCTTCAGTAATGGTCTACTGACCTTCTTTCGGCTTGACAATGATAAAGGAATGGACTTCTGGAATAGGAAACCCATGGGGAAGGATTCTGTATAATCTCAATGATTGGGTGCTGAACATGACAGTGGCCAGGTGAGAGAAACTATAGCTCAATATTAACTCTGAATCACTGCATAGCATTGTAAAAATATTGAGCAGTTAAGTATAGTGTAATTTTAGACACATATTTTAATGTATTACATTGGTGCTTATTTTATGAAGAATTTTAAGAAGAGTATGATCTTTTGGGTTGTAACACCTTGTAGTAGACGTTCATCGATGTTTCTGAGGAATGTATAGATTCCATGTTCATGGTACAGGAGTAAGCCAAACCCAAAACCAGCAAGAAGCCGGCAGCAACTGGTTCTGCTTACTGCCTGCTTCCTAGTAGATGATATCTGCATATACAAATGCCCTTGATAATGGAAGTAGACCGAAATGTTTGGGATGTACAGTCATTATTGATGCCATTCTTGTATCTGATGTTAAGGAAAAACTAGAATACAATTAGAACTGATAGAGTGGAATGGGTTCTGAATATAAATTCTCTTCAGTAATTTCATTAATCTGTTGGATTTGTCAATACTCCAATAGACAAACCACTTCGGAAAGTTTGTAGGCCCTGAAAAGGGCCGTTCGGCTGGGATGTTTGGCTGGTGAAGTAGGCCTGCATGCGCCGGTAGAAATAATGTCAGCTGTGGTGTGTTGACTAATGTTATGGCAGCTGAGTGAGTTGACTGGCCGCAGTGCGGCAGTTGCCGGGAGTTGCCTGGTCACAGTGCGGCAGTTGTCGGAAGTTGCCTGATCGCAGAGCGTGGTTGCTGGGAGAAGTCTGGTTGCAGAGCGCAGTCACTGGAGTGACGGCAGCTGCGCCAGTTGCCCAGTGAGTTGGGCATGACCGCCAGCGAGTCGAGGAAGCCGAGATGCCCAGTGAGTCGGGCATGACCGCCAGAGAGCCGAGGCAGCCATTCCTGACGCAGTGAAGTGCCAATGACTCCGAAAACCGATCGCTCTGGACCAAGTGTAATAGCTGGCTGGCTGGTGTGGTCACTGCTGCTGACTGACTGTGGCGAGCAATGTGCTCCGCCTTTTATACAGTGCGTGATGGAGGAGCGAAATTTGCAGAGCACTGATTGGCTAGCACGTGTAATGATCTGGATGATGCTAGACAGCAACTGCTGTATAAATGCTAGCGTTGGAAGCAACGTGATTGGTTAGTGCGCGTGATGGTGAAAAGTGAGCGGGAAAGTGGGTGCTGTATAAATATGACATGTGGGATGTTCCCACAAATCTTTTATAGATGTAAACATAAATATATAAAATACAAGTAAATCCTCTCAGATTTCTTAACAACATCCATCATATTTGGTGACCCATATAAAGCTAGAAGCATTCAAGGACGAAGATTTGTCTGGTTATGTGTTCGTTGATACAATATTATATCTTTGATGTGACAAATACACTGTATCCTGTTGCTAATAAACAAGTTACATTAAATGGTCCTTATTAACAATGTTTTAGTCATTTAATAGTTTCCAGTATGATACACAAAGTATGTTCCATCTATGGGGTTTCTGACTGGGTGAACTATGTGGCCACCCCCTCAGGTGTCAAACATTAAGATCTTCACAGAAGAGAATTTTTTCTTCTTATTCTGTGGCTTGCATTAGTTGTGTACCAACTCAGAAACAGTATCTGAAATGTACAGCAGTCAAATTTGTACTGTTTTGGTGATCATTGAGAAAACAACCAAGATGATTTTTTCCAGGTAGTCAAACAATTAAGTACTGAATTGCAGGGATAATGTTCAGTGCTAAAGGTGACAGTATTTATTGTTGCTGTGACTGACTTCTTGAATCAGGTACTCACATATCAGGTTGACAGTAACAAGTGTGCTGACCATGACCTTCAGGAAGAAATATCTGCTTGTTGCTATTACTGTTACCAGTGCTACTGTTGATATTATTTGCATGTTGGACTCTGTAGCCAGGCTTCTGAGGTCGATACACTGTCACATCAATACGACTGGGACCTATACCAAGCTGATGCAAAGAATTACATATAAGTAAAGTATAAAATTATCTTACAAACACAGGGCCACATACTGTTGTGAAATAATAATTAAGTATTTGAATTATTTAAAAAAATATAATGAAGAAAAAATAAATGAGTACAGATATAATGGAAATTATATAAAATGGACAGAAAAAAAAATTATACACTTACAGAAACTGTGTTGCAAGAAGTTCAAATATGAGAATGGAAATTGCAAATTTTTTGCAAATGTATTCTTTTATTTACTGCAGAGACAAGTCTATTATTCCATAGCTAATCATACAACAGAGTAAAAGTTATTGTATTTTATTCCATTGTATTTAAAACATTCTTATATAGCAAATATTTATATTTTAGAGGCTAATGAGCTCTGTAATTTTTAGGTAGATTTTGTGTGTGACATTCAAGATTATTGGGTTTTTGGACTTTGTCCAATGTCCAGTATTCTCAAAAGTACTATAAACATGACATTTTAGAAACTGGATTTGTTTCCGTCTTCTGGTGAGGAGGTGGGAGACACTTACTCTGTTGGATTGGTTATGATGAGTAAACTAAGCGTTGGTCCAGTGATTGGGCCCAACTGAGTAGGTGTCTCACACCACCTCACCAGAAGATGGAAACAGATCCAGTTTCTGAAACGTTGCATTTTTAGTGTTTTTATAATACCAGATGATGGACAAAGTAAAAAAAAAATCCATTAAGCTTGAGTGGCTATACTTTATGTCATATACTAACATTTCTCCACAGTGAGCGTTTTTTTTTTAAATAAGTAAACGTTGAACTTCAGGTAAAATTAGTGTTATACTGGACTGATATGAACTAACATTAATTTACAATTACAACTAACAATTTACATCCAGATTATATGTGTACATATTTACTAATCAAAATTTCTGGTTTATATCATGCATTCTTGTAATTCCTTAGAAAACTAATGAGATACATACACAATAGTTAAAAACACTAGAAATGTGAACTACAGGTTGAAATACTGTACGTGTATTTTCAAATGTATTCCTTGAGATTCTATATTGTCAGTCTGAGAGGATATAGACAGGGTTTGAATTGGTAAAGGGATTTACTGGACACTTTAGCAAACAACTTGTGTCAATGCTAAAGGCTGGTGTTCTTAGTCACTGACTTCATGGTGCTGCTTGGTAATGTCTTCCAATAGTGGATGATCCTCTCCTCCTGGGCTCACATCCTAGTAGGCTTGCAGCCACACCAACTTCCTACTCTTCTAACTGCCACTTCAGGACTCTCCCATATTGGCAGCTGGTCCTAATTACATAGCCTTGGCACGGACCGCACAGAAAACACTACTTTCAACAGTTATGCCATTGTTGTGTGTTACACAGCCGTTACCAGCAATGGCCATTTCTCCTGCTCCACAGTTCTTGCTTTGAGCAAATATGCCAAAGTATATTCCATTTGCATTGAGGTTTATTTATTGTTGAAATAGTGTGCAATTAATGTTTATTTCTCCTTCATATCTTTAACTGTGTAATTTAACTTACTTATTTGTTGCATCTCTATCAAATGGGTTCAATACATCTACTTTAACAATGTTTTGTACTTACCATTGTTTTCTATATACTATAGTCATTCATAAACTGTAACATTTAATCTATAATTTTATTTTGTATAAAAGTTCTGTGTGATTAGCCATTTCTGATGAAGTCAATAAAGTTCAACTTGATTTTCAGAGTGCAGAATTGACTAAACAGGAGCAAAATTGGAGTCACTTGCCAACTTTAGCATAGACCCTATCCATAGTAATTTCATAGAGCTCCATCAAGTAGTTTTTAAGATCAAACGTATGGATGAACACAACCTTCACATTATAGTTTAAAATTATATGCACATCAAGGGAGAAAAAAGTAACTCACCTTGTTTCCATTGGTTGCTGCTGGTTCTGAGAACTTCACTCTCTGCTCTGAAGTTGGCTTTGATGTTGTAGAGTTCAGTGGTACAGAGTACTCTGTAGTAGGCCCTTCAGTGATGTTGAAATCCAGGAAGCCCAAAGTAACTTCAATTGCAGAATCCACATGAGCTGATGGATCTGTTGTCATGTTTGTAGAATGGAAGAAGGGAGGTCCAGAATTTGAAGATAAGTGGTGGTGTCGGTGGTGAAATCTTGAATTTTCAGTAGTTACTAATGAACCTCCCTGAGAATTTTCACTGTCATATTCCTCAAATAAAGTTTCATCAAACTTCTCATTTGTTTTATCCTGCCTAACACTATCTTCCCTTGCTACTGTCAATATAGTGGTTGCTGCATATACTTTTGGTTTCTTTGTTCCTTTGTACTGGTCTCCTTTGTAATGATTTCTATTATGCTGACGATCATGTGAATTTTTTGTCTGGTTTCCAACACGTCTCCCTTCCTTTCCAATATTTTTACTTTCTGTTACTGTTTCAACACCCCTTTCCTGACCAGACTGCACTTTTCTAATATTTGTTACATTGTGACTCTCTGTTTCTGCTTCTCCATATACTCCTTCTTCTCCTTCCTCTTCTTCTTCCTGTAATATTTCTTCTACGCCATCATTATTATCTTCATCTTCAAGACTGGCATCATATGAAGTAGTATCTTGAGGCCGTTTCTGACGAAGATGACGCCTAATTTCCTGAACACAGAAATTTTTTAATCGTTTGGTTCTCAGCACACACACACACACAACAGTTTAAGCTATTTGTTCTTCTTCAACAAACAGAAATTATGCATTATCATGAGAATATGCTAACAGAAGACAATGTATGTATAAAATCAGCATGGAAAGAATTAATGATTCCTGTCTGTATATGAGCGCTTCCTAATAGAGCAAATTATGGTTACCATACTTACTTTCAATGCCTCTACTTGAGCCAGAAGCTTGCGGATTGCTCCATCAATATTGTTCTTAGATGTTCTCCATGTTGGAAGATCCTCATACACTGCAGCACTGCAATTTACATTACGAGTTGGTGTCACTACACAGCCAGCCAACTGAATCATGTTCTCTGCAGTGGAGCTGTTGGAGTTAGCATCTTCAACAGCCTGAGAAACCTGTCATATCAGAATGCTGGTTTTCTTCATCCAACATTTTCAAAATCATTGGTTTTCCAGTTGTTTGACACATGAACTGGGATATTTGTAAATATTACACTTTTGTTTTAACAATTATTCCTGCATTTATCTTTTTTATTATTCCTTCTATATGCCTTTATGATGAGGTGATAACAGACATAGAGGTAACTCTATCTTCCTTTATTGTTATGGATGAAACACTTCCTACATGCAGTAAAGCAAGTTTTGTATAAAACACTGAGCAATAACATGAAGTTTTGGGAAATTCTACAGTATCAGGAAAAAGGAACTAAATAAATTTGTTGGATTTGTGTTCTTATAAAGGCAATTAAGAGGAGAATGAAATTCTTGATTTGAATGTTATGTGGTTCAAAGAAAGCTCAATGTTTTGGAAGAACATACCAACTCCGTATTCCTCTGAAACATGAGGCCTTCTCCAAAGTACTTGTCATATACTCATGAGACTGTACTCTTAATAAATTCATATTTTCAATACTAATGGAGTCTTAAAAGTAACAATATATTTATTTATTTATTTCCTTATTGGTATATGTGAAGGGATGAAATATTGAATAAAATATCTACATTCTGACAACAGAATGAATAGTAATCAACCCACTGCCATCTGAAATATGTTCCACAGATTTCTGTCTCTACTATGGTTAATGCCACCACGTTTGAGTTGAAAATTTGCAATTCTGTGACTGAGATTTAAGGAGAAGTATGAGATTCAATCAGAACGAGATAAATCATACTCAGAATTGAGAGACGAAGGTCAGTTGTTTTCTATTTGTTTTTCTCAGAAATATCCTTAAGCTTCTCTGCCTTCTGAATTCACCTGTCGGGTAATTCAAACAGGAGTGATTAAACTTTATGGAATATTAAGACTGTAGTCTTCTGGAATGTGACATCCTACAGTTTGGCAGCTAGGTATCAATATTTCAGAGGACCCTGCTGCCACCATGAAAATGGACTTCAACACTGACATTGAAATTGTGATCTCAATATTCGTTGAATTGAGCACATAAAATATCAAGATTCTCTGAGCCACAATTATGGAGACAGGAAACCTCAAACATATCTTAGAAGCATAACCTATGTTACAGACAGAGCCCCTTTGTTTCATCTCAAGAACTACATGGTAAAAAATCTCTATATGCAAATAGAACTCAGAAGGAAAATATATATAATTATGTGAGATTTGAGGTTTTCATGGCAGTGAGTAATAAGATTAGAGTTTTCTAGAATCTGAAGATAGAGGCTGTAAGTTCCTTGAAACACTGCTGGCCCCCCCCCACCTAACTGCATGACGTTACATCCCATATGACTGTAGACTTGGAATATAATCATATTTTATATTTATTGGCCTATATATGGCAGTCTTCTCTTGCAGATAGATTATATGACGTTTAATCATCTCCAGTGTTCTAATTTCCATTATGTCTAATAAGGATTCCCTTGTATAACAAGTGGTATTGGGGCACACAGATGGAATGCCTGTCAAAGGGAAAACTTTTACCAGGAGAAACAAGAAACAAGATATAATTTCCGTCTAAACATCAACGGCTGTACACACAGAAATATAGATATTAATGTACACATTATAAACTGGTTCATATTTTAATTATCATATATATATATAAAAAATAATCTAGCCTCGAAAGAGTTGAAGGATACATATTATAGAGAAATGTTTATAAGACACTGTTAAGAATAGTTATAACTTTTTATAAGTTATTTTGTTCTTATGAATTTTATTTATTATATTATGATCATTGTATACTTGTATATACAGGGTGTTTCATGACTTTAGGACATAACTGCAGGAGGTGATTTCCTAGGTCTTTGTGATCAAAAAAGTTCATATAAACATGTGTCCGATTTTGGACGGTTATGGAGTTATGACTGTTTTAAACTCAGAATAGAAGGTAACGATTACTGACAATAAATGGAACAAAATAATAAACCAGCATAATACCTGTTACATTTAAAGTATGAATGTAAAGTTAACTTCGTGAAATTACCTTTAATTTAAATTTATTGGTGCTTAAAGCTGATTTTCGAAAATGCCACCGCTGGCCGCAACACAGGCTGCCGCTCGGTTATGAACCGCGCTGGACATACCAACCCATCCCGCCTTACGTAGCTCTCAAGTGTCGAGATAACGAGAACGCTCTGTCTGTAGCTGGCTAAAGATAGTGACCTGTCAGCTGACAGACGCGGTTCACACGAGGGCATGTATGGGAAGGGAAAAACGGTCATAACTCTGTAACCGTCCAAAATCGGACACATGTTTATATGAATTTTTTTGATCACAAAGACCTAGGAAATCACCTCTGCAGTTATGTCCTAAAGTCGTGAAACACCCTGTATATATATATGTATATATACATAGTTTTTAAATTAAAATTCATAAGAAACTTATAAAAAGTTATAACTATCTTAACAGTGTTTTATAATAATTTATTTATAATATGGATCCTTCAACCCTTTCGAGGCTGATTATTTTTGTCTAATTCAGCTTTCAACAAAGCATAAGTGGCACATATTCCACCAAAGAAAATTTATGGGTACTTCAAAGTGGGACATACAATGGAAACAACTTTTGAACATAAATTTCACCCAATAGATATTTTTTTCTGAAGGATTTAAGATATAAATAAGTTATGTTAACCACAAGAGTTATTTTAGAGGTCTTAATATACATTATCTATATTATGCTATAAGAGCTCACCAGTGATGTTCACCTACCTTTGAAGGCAATGATGCATAAGTCTGCATACAGAAGCTTGTGAGATGACTGAAGAATGCTGTCAAATATTATTCCAATCTGTGTTAAATGTCACGGGGAACAGAGAAACACACAGTTTGTACATAATTGCCTAATACCCACCTGCAGACCATGCAGTTCCTTCTCAATGTCCTTTTCAAGGTCTTTCATGATTGAGTCAGTGACATGTTCCAGTGTGTCACGTCTCCCCCTCCTGCTTGCCTTGTGAGTGTTTTCACTGTTATAGCGAGTAATCAGGTCTGTCATTATTGCTGTGTCTGCTGTACTTGAGACCTGCCTCAGGAAGTCTGATAAATTCACTTCTCCTATAGACTGTTTTGCTTGAACTGTTCGAAGGAACTTGGGTCGGTAATCTTTAATGTCCTTGTTTACATGTCCCCTGCAATAGTAAAAATTTAATAAGCCTGGGATATTGGGAATGTTAACATAACACATCTTCTTCCAAATCTATTGGACTATGCCGAAGTGAGTCATTTTGTGTGCTTCTGGATGGTAAAATCAGCATTCATTGTTTGCATGAATGAATGTCTGAGAGGTGTTGCGTTAGTATATGTAGAAGGAAGGTGGCCTGGTGGCTGTGTAGGCTCACACTAGGCCAAGCTATAGATTAAGAAAGGGTGCAACCAAGTTTCAAATACTGGTATAAAGATGTGAGGACAGTGATCAAGTTCCATAAGTTGTTTGGAGAAATACACATTGAACCTGTTGAAGTGAGGACAGAGACCACTGCTCCATCACAAAAAGCTGTTTGATGGTGGATGAATGCTATTAATGCCAAAAGATGCAGCAGACCTCCTCTGGTATGATTTGCCAGCAACTGACATAGTGGAGAATATGCATGCAGTGACTGAGCGAAGAAGTAGTTTTTCATGCATGGACACTGCAACAAAAGTGTGAATTTCACCAGAAATCATCATCATCATTACTGAACATCTAGGAAAATAGGTACATAGTATGTCCAGGTTCTGTTAGGACTGCATTCATTAAAAATACAAGACGTGAATTATTTTGAAAATGTCACTCTTTTTGTTCAAAATAGTCTCCTTCTGAATCAATACATAGCTGGAATCGATTGAAAAGTTTTCAAAAACAGTCACTGGACTCCTTTTGTGGAATCGCATTTAAAACTTCGGTACATTCCCTTTGGATGTCCTGGATGGTGTCGCGACAGTCTCCTTTCATCACCAACTTAACTTCTGGGAACAACCAGAAATCTGCTGGAGCCAAATCTGGCAAATATGGAGGATGATCAAGGGCTGTGATTCCTTTACTGGCCATAAAATCGCTTACCATTTTTAATTTGTGGGGTGGGGCATTGTCGTGGAGGAGAGACCAGGAACCTTGCTCTCAATATTCAGGTTGAATTCGAAGAATTCTCACCCACAAACGATGGAGGACTCTGAGATAACAATCAGAATTCACTGTTTGATCTTCTGGTAGAAATTCCTTGTGAATGATTCCTTTGAAATCAAAGGAAACGGTTAGCAGTGTCTTTACTCAACTCTTTTTCATGCGCACTTTCTTTGGTTTCGGCTTCTTTGGGCTCAATCACGCTGCACTCTGCCACTTTGTGAGAGGCTCATATTGAAAACACCATTTACCTCATTTAATTGCAATATTACTGTCTTATTGTATAGATACTATGTATTATAACTTGACTTGTTCCATATCCTATGGTGTCTCACCTGTACTGGATTTACGGAATGTAAATAAATTCAATTCAGTTCAATTCAATTCAACCATGTCTCGTCACCAGTAACAATCGATTTTGTATCTCTTTGGGTCAACTGTAGCATGTCTTTGCAGTGTTCAACCCTGGCATGCAGTACAAACTGCGCACAGACCTTCCATTTGCCCAAATCCTCGGTCAAAATTTGATGTACAGTACTTTTTGGTATTCCCAAAAGGCCCTTGATGAGTCTTGCAGAAATACATCTGTCTGATGCAAGGATTTCGGTCACTCTTTTCACTTTTTCTTCAGTGCGACTTGCTCTCGGCTTTGATGCATGTGGAGTGTCTTCAATGTCCTCCCTGCCGTCACGAAATATAGCATACCATCGAAAAATGTTCGAGCGACTCAAACAATCACTACCGTACACACTTTTCATTATTTTGTACGCTTCTCCGGCTGTTTTGCCTAACTTCAAACAAAATTTGATGTTCTCTCGCTGTTCAACCGCCATTTTCCGACAAGCGTCAGAACAGTACTGTTACATTTACGGTCAGAACACATAATGCAGCGATGCTTGCACTTTGATATTATAGACAGCCACAGCTGAAACTTAAAATATCTTAACGCCACAACTCGCAACAGATGGCATTGCAGGGCAAAATTTAAAAAAATATAGTCCTAATGGATCCTGGACACACTGTGTATGTGTTAAGTGGATTCTAGATGTTGTTGAATAATGTTGTTACACAAGTGATACTATCCATCATCTATTTCCACTCAGGGAAAGAGTGATACTTTGCTTGATCGCATTTTGATGGCGGATGAATCATGGGTGTACTCATTGAACGTTATAAGAGGGAGCACTTGAGCAGTTTCCTGTACGTAATCAGTACATGCCACAGACAAAGTGAACCAGTAGAGAGTTTATATTCATGCTGCATTAAATTTACTATTCTTTCTTTCCATCAAATACAGAAAATCACAATGTTTGTCATGTATGTTCATCAATCCAAAACTATTTAACTCATGATTTTGCAAGAAAAGATGGGATAACAAAACAAATTTAAGTAATTTATGATCTTCCTAACTAACTAATATCTTTTAAATGTCATAACCAAAATTGAGAAAAAACATTCTTCAAATATGAAGTAACACTTTAACCAATTACCCTCTCATATTAAGAATGTTAATGGCAACATAGCTAAATTCAAAACCACTTTAAAAAAATTTTATACATGAATTCATTCTACTCATTAGAAGAGTACTTTGATCAATAATGAGAGTAGTTATAATAAACATATCTGAATGTAAATTTTATGGCTCACTTGTGTATTATATTTGTATTTATGATTTTTTATGCACTGTAAACTCATTCATGTCAGCTTGCCATGAGCAAACTGGCCGGTGTTCAACCTGACTGATGAGAGAACACCTCACAACTGATACTGCTCTGGGCATTCCCAAGCTGTCAAGGGATGGTGGCACCATGTAAAAGTAAATTTACATACTGCTATCCCATGACTTTTGGCACTTGAGTGTATAATGCCTGTTTTGTTATAATTATGAGTTCTACCTGTGCATTGCCAACTAATCTTATTTTCTGTAATCTGAAGGATTTATTTACTATTTTAACTTGTAATTATTGGTTTATTGTGGATTTCTTATTTAATATGATTGTTCTTAAATGACATGTTTCTGACTTTTTATTTATGTAATCTAAGGCCATAACTATTTATATTTTATACTGTTGTAATGTACCATGTAAACAACTTTTGTAATTGGTCTGTATGTACTGAGTGAGGACAAGTTCAGTATCCATCTTGTGGATGTCTGGAATACTGAATAAATACTAATACTAATACACTCGGCCCTATATACCTAAGAAACTGCCGCTGCATTCGTCTTTCATCTGGTTCCAGTTTTTTGTATACCAAGCCAGAAGAAGTGAAACATGCACATTTTTTCCTTCCATTGCTTCCTCCTTGTTGGTAAACTGTGCCCTGGAATTTACACTTATGTTTCCGCCACCTGCAAATAATGTTACTCATATTACACCTCTCTTCTTTTTCATCTGGTATATGGGACTTTTTATTTCAACATCAGTTACCTGCTTCCCTCTGTGACACACTGCCACTTCTGTCCTGGCTTACATGGAGCTTGGAATTCAGGGCTCTGACATTCCATGGCAATGCGTTCCACCTTGTTGATCACTCCTCCAGGTGAAACAACTGGTAACACTTGGTTATCAAGCTGTAAATCAGGACCTTGAGACCACCAGATTTAACAGATTGTTAGATTCATGGGCAGAATAAAAAACGTCAGCTGCCTTAATGTATAATAACTTCCAATTTTATAAAATCCAATTACAAGAATTTCAGTAATGAAACGGAAAATTAGTATCAATGTTTTTAGTATAAACAACAAATTTTTGTTACAATGAACATATGAAGAGCCATGTATACATTTCTTGTCCTGCATACAGTTCCTCGCTCTTCTCATACAATCAGTTGCTGTTGCTGTTTTTGTACTGTGTTGCTTCCTAAGCATTTCACACAGCACACAGCAATTTTTCTTTTTACCTTGAATATCTTCTTCTTCACCATGATTTACAAGACTTTCTTGTTTTATATTTTGCTCCCTTTATGGACTGTTTTAATTAGTGGGAACAAGCTCACTTCAAAATAGCTGAAAACTAGTCATTATAATAAATAAATATGTACGCATAAATATGTAAGTATGCATACATACATAATCTCAGTAACAGATTTTTTAAGGTTATTTTTCAAGTTAATATGAAATTCATTTCCTTGCAACAAACTTTCGTTAAATGAGTGACTCCCAAAGTACACATCTCAATCTCGTTTGTAGGACAATGAGTTAAGTATATAAGATCTCCCAAAAAGAGACACTCCAGTTTAAATTGAACATATTTTCTTAAACATATGATGTGTAGATTTGATTCTGTTGTTCAGAATTTGGAACAGTGGCATGCACTATAAAACCATCTGTGCTTTCAGAAAAATAGTTTTACCAAAGTGTATTTTTAATGCAGCATGAATTTTACTTGAATTAAATCATAAGTAAGCTCCACAACGGTATGAGAGAAGCACACTGTATTACTTGGTAAAAACATGAAATGGAAAAATTGTATTACTGACAACAATGTCAGGTCATTGTCCTTGTTTGAAAATGTCATACTTAACAAAATAAAATATAAAAGAGACTGTATTTTTAATGCAAAAAACTCTCAAGTTTACAAGTAATTTAATGGTTTTCAAGGTAGATACTATTTAAGAAAAATATAAATGGAACAGTCAATAAAACAAATTATTTAAATGGAGATAAATTAGGTACTATAATATCAACATTCGTTTTATTTGTGCAGCTGTTAATGCTACATGTTTTGACCTGTTTTTAGGTCATCTTCATGCATACATGAAACAATAATGATAAGTTCTGAATATGTCAACGCATTAATATAAATCCATATTTTACATTAATAGGTTTTGTAATATCACACCCTTCATTCAAATTTTGATCAGATAATAGTATACATGCCTGTGTTGTTGATATTTATGTTATTGCTTATGTTAAACTGAATAGTTGAAATAAATACTACATATGTGTTGCTATGGTCTGTCACTAGCATATATATTTATTTGTAAATCTAATTATACACTTACTAGTAATAAAATACTGTATATTAAAAACTGACATATAATGTTCTTTAAGGCGGTGATTACTGCTTAGAAAAGGTGTCCCTGTGCTTAACTAATTAAACACTGTGCCGTGAAGGCATATTGGGGAGTGGATGTACTCGTATAGAGCTGTTTAGAATCAAATAAAGCTTAAATTAAAATTGTACATATATTGATTTATATTAACGAGTCTTATTTAGACTTTCATGTGGCTGCTATTTAATTGATCTGCCACATTTAGGTTTAAGTTGATGTTGCAGTAAATATGACTGAGGTAGCAAAGTGTGCTGGGATCCTTCTTGAAATTATGATAGGTTGCATTTATAATATTCCTATTAAGTAGCATATATAATTGATTTTGCTTGGTATCCCACTCTGGTAGACTTTTCATGAGGGTTAGTTAAAGTTTAATGTTGTGTAATACGTTGGGTCCCCCTTGGTGGTGATGGTGTTCATATTGTAGCTGTCTTCTTGACTGACATACAACAGGATGCATACTATGAAAGTCAAAGGTATCATTTGTTGCTCGACAAATATTCAGATAATTTTCAACATCTGTTCAGCAGGCGTAGAGAAACAGCTGGTAATGGCTACAAAATTCCTTCCTATTCAATGCCTTAAGCCTCAGATATTAACAGAATAGAACATATTCTTAAAATCATCCACAGAAGTAAATCGTAACAATTATGTTTAGAACTTGCAAAGTCACAAAATTAGTCCATCTCCTTTCTATTTAGAGATCTAAAAATCAGCATTTATGGCTTCTTGATATTTATGCCAGAATATGGCGCAGAACCATTATGATAAAGTATAAATGGAATTCCAGGTTTAAGCCCAGTGTCTGAATCTGTGGAAAGACAAATGGTCCTACATGTACTTTCCTTTGAATGGTCATCACCAGGGCCAAGATTTTGATGACCTAAAAATATTTTTAAAATGATCGAAAAATCCAGAAAAATTACCTATAAAATGACCGAACATCTAGAAAAATTACCTATAAAAATGACCGAAAAATCCAGATAAATTATCTAAATGTTAAAAAAACGACCTAAAAATGTATCATGTCATGGAAAATCTACTATTTGTTTTAAAATGTATTTTTAATCTTTATTAACGCCGTGAATTCAACGTTACTCTTTTAAGTTTGTCCTCGTTTTTATGTTGAAAATTAAGCAATATATGATTGAATTTGAAGCTAAATGTTTTAATACGATTTTTTTCTACCATGTTGGAACGCTTATCAAACGTACATACACGGTATATAATTCCAATATTTAAGTGCCACCTCATTCAGAGTTGCAATAGATGATAGTCAACATGCGGAGATTCTCGAAGGTGAGAGAACGCATATTGCCTGACAGCACATTCTTGTACTGGGAGAAACTCTTTCCACATCTGCAGACACAATGGGAGCATACTTGAAGTGTATCAAATCACTAGCAGTAAGTTCCTCCTCAATATTGAAAGTGCTGAAGGGCTCTCCTGTCAGAATTCGAGAAATGCTCCAAAATATTTCATAATCTGTGTGTTCATCTAGAACATGTCTCATTTTTCTTGACACCATTTTACCAATGTCCCTTGACACTTTCTCCAAATCACTGGCTATTTTTTTTCACCAGAGCGAGCGAATCTTCTAGCGTTCCTCTTTTCTCCTATAAGCATTTGATTCCTTCCGTCAAGGAACTGAAATCTGCCCTTATGACGGCCAGCTCTCCTTCCATTTCGCTGCACGAGAATTGTTCCTGAGCAGCTTCAATTGCCTTCGCATCCTCCATCTTCATTGAATCTAGAATGTTTTTCACTGCCTGAAAATGATCATAATAGTAAATTTTTAAAGGAGGATGAGGTGGGCAGGGCATGTAGCACGAATGGGGAGACGATGAATGCGTATAGAATATTGGTGGGAAAGCCAGAAGGAAAGAGACCACTGGGAAGACCAAGGTGTAGGTGGGTGGACAATATTGAAATGGATCTTAGAGAGATAGGATGGGATGGTATGGACTGGATTGATCTGACTCAGGAGAGGGACCAGTGGAGGGCTCTTGTGAACACAGCAATGAACCTTCAGGTTCCATAAAATTTTGCGAAATTCTTGAGTAGCTGCAGAATTGGCGGCTCCTCCAGAAGGGCTCAGTTCCATGAGTGAGTGAGTAAGTAAGTAAATAGTAAATTGTAGCATCAATCCACGTTCCCCTCATTGTGATGACGGGTTCCGGGCACAGTATAACACCAGCAGCCATAGACTTAAACTGCATTATACGAGCTGGAGCCTTGACGAAAATCTTCTTCGTCCACGACACAAGAGCATCCACTTGAAGAAATCTTAATCTCACTTCCTCCGTCACTCTATGCAGTTCATGTGCTAGTCAAGTAATGTGCACCAATGTCGTATACAACGAGTTTATTGAATTTGCCTGCTTTTAAAATATATGGGGACGCATTGGTCACAAGAAGCAAGACGACATCGTGTCGTATACTTTCTGGCCACAGTGGAAATATCGACCTGTCAAAAATATTTTTTTAAATCGCTTAGTGGGGGTTAGAGTCCAACTGGGTCCACTCGGCACGGCGGCCACTGATTGGCCTATTGTAGCCTGCCCCGGGTGATTATGATGATGGAGAATTTGGTGGAATAAAGATTGGCAGGGGAAACCGAAGTACTCGGAGAAAACCCGGCGCCACTTTGTCCACCACAAATCCCACTTGACCAGACCCGGGATCGAACCCGGGCCGCGACTAACAAATTGTGGAATGATTAACGGATTCTAGAACCTCACTCGGAAGCAGAAACACTTCACCTAGTCCATCAATTTCCAAGGCTCCAATGATGACGTCTGCCATGTAGCGAGCCCCGTATTGCAGGTCTCATCAATAGAAACGAAAATCTTCTTCCCATGCTCTTTATTCCCAGTCATTTTCAGGATATTGTTATAGCACTTGGAAAGGTAGTTTTTCCTGAGGGTGGATTCATCCGGGATAGAACAACCACAATTCACTTCCAGAAAACTTTTCAGTTTTTCATTTTTCAGAGCCCAAAACGGAATATTTGCGGACACCAGAGCATCACACATCTGTGAAAAAATCCGATGACTTATCTCTGCCTTCCAACGAACACTGTTGCAGTACCCTGAAAAACTTTAATTGAAAAATTTGAAAAAGGNTTTGCACTGCTCGCATATGCTTGTTGCAGCGGATCTTTTTTTTTTGTGTCACACATCTTACAGTATAAAATGTTACCGTCGGTTTAAAATACGTGTATATCATCTCCAAATTAAGCTACAATCTGTTTTAAATGACACAATTTAGATGGCTTTGCTTTAGGCATCGTGATGAATTGAATCACTCTAGTGCAACACAGAACTGAACTTTTCACAGTGAGAACCTTTCGTCAACTGCATCTTTGTCTGCATGGAAAAGGGCGAGAAACTGAAGACAGACAGTGTTTTACTGAGCAACAATATGTCACAAAAAGCGAGGAATTCTGACTAGAAATATTTGTAACTAAGCAAATTCCTTTGCACAGTACTTTGAAAGGGCCGCAATGTGAGTGACCGCTGCCAGCTTAAAATGTTTTATGAAATGTAATGTCAACACTTTTTGCAAAACGAACGGAAAGGGCGGGACATTATTACAACTTAGTATTGCATACTGTCCTAGCAGGTATTTGGGGTGCAGCTGCAGGCTTCCTTTGCAGAGGCAGGAGAAAGAGAAAGAGAAAGAACATTTTACTTGCGTATTAATCACATTTCTGAAAACATATGAAGAAAATTTCCCTAAATTTATAAAAAAAAACCCTTAAAAGTCCAAAGAAACGAAAAATGTCCCCCAAACCGAAAAAATGACCTAGAAACTTAAAATGACGAAAAATGACAACATGACCTATGAAAGTTACATTTCCGTAACCAGCAGCTCATTTCCGGGATTTATATATTTACGGGCATCGAAGAGGATACAAGGAAAAAAAGATGACATGCCATCAAAATCCAGGCCCTGGTCATCACTGTAGTGAGGCAAAAGAGGGTTTTAATGTAGATGTTATGATTCTCCCACATTAGTGTCATAGTGGCACGATAATAAAATGAAGGAAACTGAAGGAAACAATACTGAGAATTATTGGCATGTTAAAAAGAACTGCTTTTTTCTTAAGTCAGTTATGTCACAAAACCAAGCCTTCAAAATAAGAGCATTCTTCTTACCTACCAGAACGCAGTGCATATTGCTCTTTTTCCTTTAAACACAAAAATAAATTTATTTCGATTTTTATACAAGTCCATTAAAATCTATGCAGTTCAAACACAAAAATCAATGAAGTGACGTGTTTATGCTTTTCCATCTTTCAGAAATGCAATACTCTGAAACTTTATTTTTACTGCTTGTCTGTGGTGGTTGGTTACCATTTTTTGTGAAGCCCAGCACGCTGTATCAACATGAACACCAAGCTATAGAAAATCGTGGCTGGCCAGTACACATAATATGGAGAGTAACAAATATAAAAATGAAAAAATATATATAGGCTGGTGCAAAAAATGACATTTTTTAACAAAAAAATTAATGACTCTGTGGATTTGAATGAAACATACCTAAGTCCACAAAATAAAACTGATTCCATTCTACTGATTTGTTGCAAAGGAAAATATTTTCAACATCAAGTCTCAAAAGTATGCACTTATTTATAACTAAATTATGCTTTTTATTGGAATCAACTTTTGATAGGGTATCCATTCTTTAATTATGGCTTGAACCTGTCTTGTCTATTGGCTCACAATGGATCAGGTATTATCTTGATAATGAGAGGTCACACACACTGTTGCAGAAACACCAGGGACGCAGATGTTTCTCTCAGATTTTGTACACAAACTGCTTAGTTTCATTACAAACATAGTAAAGTAAATTATTAATTTATGATGAATTTAGTGGTTATTTGATGAATTTTACAAATTAAAATGTAGTGTTATGTAATACTTTCAAATAGTGGGTAATATGGATGTAACAGTGTCTATTTTTAACCTAAAAAATGGAAAATATCTCTTTTTGCTACCTGGCACAGTTTTGTCACAGCTTTAGAGCAGAGATTTTAGCAAGACTTATTACGCGTAAAAAGTGATACAGTGCTCTATACTTCATTTTATTGATTTTAGGGCAGACTTGGTCTTTACAATATGAGTTGTAGCACTGATAAACTTGTGAAGTTAGGAAGTGAAGAGTAGGAATGGTGACATCAAAACATGATGCAAATAAGTTTCGTACAATTTTAATCTAAATGGTTGCATGATGCAATCAAATTCTGTTAAATATGAATGCTCTGATAATCTACTTACGGGCTAATACAGGGATGTCTTCTAAAGATGGTTCAAGATCAGGAATATGCAAAGCATTAGATGTGTCATTCAGACCATTTTCATCTGTTGAAAAGTCTGGATATTGGCTTGTCAGAGATGTAACTGTTGTTCCCAGCATGGCAAAACTGCTGTCACCATTGTTCTCTTCACTCACAGATCCTGCAGCAATTTTATTCAGCTTCGCTTGATGCTGAGGTTTTAATAAGTTTAACTTGGCTTCAATTGATTCAGGTGTTTCACGCCTCCCACTACTGTATAGATTTCAACCAAAGAGAGATATATATGCATACAAAATTTTGGCCAGAAGCACTGAAAGAGAGAAACTACTTGGGAGACACATACATATGAATCTTAAGGAAATAGTGTGAGAGTGCAGACTGGATTTATCTGGCTGAGGAAGGAGTCTGACGGTGGGCTCTTGTGAATAGGGTAATAAACTTTCAGATTCCATAAAAGCAGGGAATATTTTGACTATCAGCTTTTCAAAGAGAACTCTCTCCGTGGAGTTGTTACATACTGTAGGTATGATATCTTTGGTTATACATGTTGAATCTGTGGTTCTCACAGCAGTGGCTGTGAAGAGTACTATCTTCTGAGATGTGATGTTATGTAGTCTAGTAGAAATGGACTTCTAATTTACTAGAATTTCAGAAAACAGTATTCTTTAAGTTATGCATATGATATACACACTCTTCTAATAATGTTATATCTTCATTTATACTCCACAACATCTTCAATTGAGAGAGCTTCATAAAATAGCAAAGAGATGTAAAAGAAAGGGGATAAGAAGGAACATGTAGTAGGAGAAAGAAACAGGAGAGGATTAAGTAGTAAGTTATTAGAAGAAGGCTTTTTTCAAAACACATGGTTTGGACTAGCACTCTTAAACAAAGAAAAATTTGAGTGTCTGCAAATAGAAGCTCTATGAAACATGCAAAACGTTTCAAAAGAATATTATATCAAAATTTACCTTTCAATTAGAAAAGTGTCCGGCCATTTTAGTTTCCTTCTTCTTGCTGACATTTGGCCATGCTTGGAACTGAAACAAGTGAAAAGTAATCTTGTTAAATAGGCATATGTGCTGTTTTGTTGTTGCTGTCATTATCACTGTTTTTGTCAATGTCACCACCGCCATCACTGCTGTTGCTTACTGTAATATGTTTAATAACAACAAACACTTAACAAACATGTGTACAATCCAATTCACATTTTTCTTGATTAAACTGTTATTTTTAACCAAAAATTTTGGTATGCCCCCTCTGTACATCTAAGCATACAGAATAAGAAAGAAATTTTAACCTTAGGCTATATTTGCATGATGCTTTCAAGCAAGGTAATATTGCTAAAGAATTGTTATATTACTCTTACTATTAGTATTATTAAAAACAGCACTAAAGGAAGAAAATTGAAACAGTTCCTGCAGAACTACTAACTACGATGGCTGCATTAAGCAAATGTAAGTGAAAATTCAGTACCTGACATGACATTAAATAAATTGTATGCACATGAATTCCTGTATTGTATTTGCTTGCATACTGATCAAAGGTTAAATATAATGTCATACTTATTAACTTACTTGCGATGTAGAAGTTTAAGAAATGATCTGCCATCCATATGAGCAGGGGCCTCAACTCCTGCAATATCCAGGAATGTTGGAGCGATGTCCAAATTTAGAACAATATCATCAATGCTGAAATTGAATATTTCACAAAGTATCGTAATATACATTTCTATTATAAAATCATAACCAAAGGACTGTTTCTCTATGTCATCTATCAGAATCTGTTATTCTGAAATAAACATTGACAAATGGTGTCCTGGGAATATAAAGTAAATTATATATATATGTATTTTTATACTTACATTGTGCCAGGTTCAATATCTGGACCTCGTACAAGGAATGGGACTCTAACATCGAACTCAAAGGGAAATGACTTGCCCTTGACTAGGCCAAACTGACCCAGATGGTATCCATGGTCTGATGTGTAAATGATGTATGTGTTGTCCAGCTCTCCAAGGTCTTTCAGTTCTTGATAGATCTAAAAGTATAGTGATTGTAACAGAACCTGTATCAAATGGTTGTTTGTGTAGTTATGTTACAGTTGCTGAAGTTATATCTCACTGAATGGTACAGTCAGATCATTGCGAATGACAGAATAAAAGGCATATGGAAGAAAGCAGAGATGGCTTACTTTAATTCTCTCATTATTGAACTTGATGATACACTTTATGTTAAGTAATATTTCATATTTCATTCTGAGAAACTGGGCACTGACATTACAGGTTAGGTACGAGTATCTTAAAAAGAACATAGGTAGTGTCTTATGTAAGATGATGAATAAAAAGTAAGAGTTCACTATCGATTCTGAATGTTTTTTAAAGTTCTCAAACAGCAACCATTAACTGCATAACGTGTTGTTGGCTCCAGATCTATTTTTTACCACATGAGTGCCAGAGAGCTTTTTAAAATGATATTAAATAGTCTGGGGGTCTGGATTCTCTAATGGCTTCATGTTGACTACCTTTGGTGCAGCTTAATTTAGGAAAGCAACTGAATATTAAATAACACTGACCTTTTCCACTGCTTCATCAACACTTTGCAATGTCTGCAATCGTTTTGTCATCAGGAGATCAGTGAACTGCCGGTGAATGGGTTGCATCCTCTGTGTTACTTGTAGGATCCATTGCTTGTCTGGATTGGGGGCGTAGTCATAAGTTGGAGTGCTGCATAACACCACATGTCATTATATATCATGGGAACAAAGAGTGTGAGCTGTAGTCAAGAATCAATTAATTTGGGAAGTTATTGGGAGCAACATCTTTTGTGACACTTAATGGTCATATAACCATTCAGGCTCAAATATTAGGACATAGTAAGTATTTTGTTGGCAATTGTTTACTAAACAACCAAGATATTAAAATTCCTTCTTCTTTTATTTTGCCTCTTCCAGCACCTGCAGCAGTGATGTAACTCAAATGAAATCTACAGAATTGTGATGTGACGAGAAAGAAGAAGGACGCCACACAGGGTATGTCCTAAGTGAACGTTATCAACTGCTCAAGGAGCAACGAAAGAGGAAGAGCAAACTGACAGATTTTTTTTCTGTCAACAGATCTGCAGTGCTCCAGAATGTTATGTTTTTGTAATGGATGTAATATTATACCTACTCCAGCAGAAACAAGCATTCATTTTTATGACTGTGAACCTTGACAGTCATGGTTTGAGTAGCCTGTTCAGTTTCCTATTTAAAGAGATTGAACAAACCAATTACAATGGCCAGAAGCCAGAAGAAACTTAGTTTACTGGTTTCATAATTAGGACATATCATTTCCAAAAGACTGTTTGAGCAACGAAATATTCCAATTTTCATATTAACATACATTTCAAAATTATGTAATAACACTTCAAATTTTATGAACACTTCTGACATGCTAAATTCTGGTAAAAACTTTTGATCCTTTGAAATGAAATGATTCTCTTTTGTATTAACAATCATAATCAGTACACAATATTGAAAGCATTACAAACAGTACAGTAGGACTGCAAGTCCAATAAATTGTCTTAGAAATTGTATTTCACATTAGATGCAGTGTGTCAACCTTCTCTGACTGAAAAAATATTATACACAGAAGGTAAGTTTTCAAAGAGTGTAAAAGAAGCAAGATGCATATGCTGGTTTTGGAATGACAGAATGAAAAACAACTGCTTTCAGTTCAATGACGAAAAATGCTCCCCTTCTTTTAAGGCTTAAAGGCATGTAACATACGAGTAAATCTAACATGGAAACAGTATTTCAGTAACCGAAATTCATCTTCCTATAATACATTTGTAAACCTGAAGAAAATTTGAAGAATGATTCTAAAGGAAATAAATAGAATGATCTACGGCTCAACAACGGTATATAACCTATATATCTACACGTAAAAAAAAAAGTTTACATCATTAACACCTTCGCATTCTCCAACTAAAGAAAAGAATATCATAAAAATAATTAGGTTTATAAAATCCTTACCTATAAAATTGTTCATATTGCCTGTAGTTGTTAACGACGACGATGATGATTTTGACGATGCCAAATAAAACATATTTTATTCCGTCTCCATCTAGCTCATTTTATTTTAGAAAATTTGGCTGAAGAACAGCTGCATATGTGATGAGCTTCAATGTTAATACAAATGCTCTGTATGACTCATGTCACTTCTAGTTGGACGAAAGTTGTCGCGACCGCTGTGTTACAGTTACTGAGGATGGGATCTAGTGAGATGTAATCGTGCGTACATTCCCATCCTATTTTAATTTAAATAGGCAGATTACTTCTTGCACTTTCTTCTGATTTCTCGCATGAATTTTGGGGATGAAAGCAATTAAATTAACCTCAGTACTCACTGCGTTCCGTGGTTCAATTTGCTTTCAAAAGACTTTTCTATTCGTTTGAAAACTTGTAAAGAAAACAACCTGTGTTGTTTTAGGACGGAAGATTCCATATTTGAAAGCTTCTGGGTTCTAACCCATATGTGCGGGGGGAATCCTGAATTGCGATATTCATATACTTGTGGAACGTGATCGGCTGATTTTATTCCGAGGTGATTACAAAGCCAGAAGTATAAGATTTTAATACATAAGAAGGCAGACGCGTTTAGACATGCTGCTAATAGATACAATAGATTTACGGAATAGTGAACCATGTAAGCATTCAGAACACTCAATGCTGTTTTAGAGGCCTGCGAATCAGGAAACATCTTGAACCACTGGTGCTGAAGACGCTGTTATCTTCGTGAAAAATAGATATGTCCTAACAGAAACAAAACAATGCTACTTCGACTTTAGGAACACATTTGTAGGTGTCGTGGAAGTCTCCGATTCCTTTCAGAGGCGACGACAGTTTTGTGGGCCTTTCATTTGAGTCGCGCCGTCTTGGCACCCGCGTTCAACAACAGAATAGTGTCTGCTCGTTGACCTTGTCCTTAACTTTCAGACGAAAGAAGAGATAATTACTGTCACTACACTTTTACATCTAAGTCAGAGTTTGAGGCACGTGTGATGGAGATGTGAGTGAAAAAGAAACAAAGAGCCTCAACCCTTAACATCGTCGAAATCCAGACCAACAGACTGCTTTGAATAGATCCAGCTCTCGCATTTATCTTTCCGTTTTCAGGCTTAATTTTGAATAAAAAAGTAGCAAGAGTGGTTCCAGTTGGAGTACATATATTTTCCTAATGCTTTATTTGCTATTTTGCATACCTAATCGATCTTGACGTTCCCTTATTGCAAATACTTTGCCTGATTGTGACAAAGCTATATGCATTACGGATATCATATTGCATCGAATTCGTAATTATTTTTCTTTGTGTTTCTTTAAATAACTGCCATATCAGAAAACATTTCAAATACAAGTTGTAAATCTTAAATGAGATATATCCTTTATATTATTTACCAGTTCTTCACATGACAGAATCTTTTAGAAAACGGAAGACCTTCAATTTGGGTTCAAATGAATCAAAGGTAAATTCGTCTGATTGCATTTAGTCTAGATTCCATTACTAAATTTCATTGAGATTAGTTGAGTGGTTACACAGATAAAACAAACGGACGAAAACGACCTCGCTATTATGCTCTCGTTTTACGCACTTTGTGAAAATAACCCACAGAACTGAACCAACGAGAAACGTGATGACAAGTGGTTGCTTGTGTTTTCAGTGATTTATCGTTTCTCCTTTCAAGAAAACTTACTCAGGCTTAATATAGCTTAACAACTCTTTCAATGCATGGAGTAGCTTGGTTAGTTGGTATTCGAGGGTAGCAGATAGAGAAAATGAAGGAACCGCCCCAAGAAAAATTGTATGGCAGAAGGCTGGGGGAGGGGAGACGAAGCCTAACAAGGATTTGTAAGATAGAGCTGCTTCTGGTATTACACATTTCTTGCCTTTCTGATTCCCCCACGCCTAATGGATCCATAAAATACGGCTGTTCCGCCCAAGTAGTTCCTGCGCCCTACGTCCTATACAACAGTCATTAAACGTCGTGTTTAGACACAGTATAAAACACCCTGTGCCGGTCACGGTAGCCGAGCGGTCTAAGGCATGTACTGTCTTCGCTCGCTTGGAAACCGGGATCGTGGGTTCGAATCTCACTCAGGGCATGGATGTTTAGTTTGTGTGTGTGCGTTTTTCTGTGTTTGTGTACAGGTAGAGGCCTTGCGACGAGCTGATCACCCGCCCAAGGGGTCCTACCGAATGTGTAAGATCTAGAAAAACCGAAGTGAGCGGAGAAGTTCATGAAGGTAGGCCTAGGCCCACTGGGGCTGTAGCGCCAATGAAAAAAAAATACCCTGTACTTTGCTTACGAAGACTATGGAGTTTACGTACATACATGCCGGGTAGAAGCAATAAAAAACCGCTGATTGACTGCAATTACGGGAAAGCCCCCACAACCATGGTTCGTGAGACATTTCTATTTCCTGCAATAAATTAATCAAAGATGCAACAGTCAGAAAATCGGTAACGTAACAAAGCACGGTACACAGAGACAGTAAAGCAAAATTGCCCCTGTACTTAACTAATTAAGCATTACGCCACGAAGGCGCTTGGGCGAATGAACTCGGAAGTCGTTGGAGGTGATTGGTCAGCTTCACGCCCCGGCCGCTTTACACTCGGGGAAAGAGTTCCCGGTACCCATTGGATAGGGTTTTGAGTGGGACCTAGAACCGGCTGGATGACGTGAACAGGAGAAAAATCTTGCCCCTACAGGGACTCGAATTCCGACCCCACAGCTGTCCAGCTCGTAGCTAGTTGATATATCGATTGAGCTACCCCGGCTCTACACAGAAAGAGTTTCTCTTCATTTCCCAGAACCGTGCTGATTCGTGTAATCATTTCAAACACAACAGCAACAAACGAAACTTACATATATTTGGAAGTGATGTTTAAAAACAGAACCCATAGCTGTAGACTACGGTCCATACACCGAAGGGTGGAGGATGCAAGTGACGTCCGTCTAAAGGACGGAACAGTTTTGATCTTTGTAATAGGGACAGGACAAGATCTTAATCCATGATAATGATTAAATTAATTAGAGATCACACTGCTATTTAATTCTATTCGGTCCGTTATTCGGAGCGAATTCTGAATAGTACTGAATGTTTTCCAGCTCCGAGTGTTGCCTATACATGGCACTGCAGGCGATACATAATGTGCAGCTATGAATGTACGTAGGAAATTCTATGGGGATACTGACATTTCAAAAACCGTATTTATTCGAATATGGTGGACAGACACGGCGCTTCTGCAACTAGAAGCTATCAGATACTTTATATGGATGAGAAACTTGGCCTGTCATTTAAATGGAAAAGCACAGACAGAGGCTTAGTTTTAATAAATCGGACATTTTCCTTCTTCTAGTTTTCGTATATTAAACCAGTTGGGAAATGTAAGCATGACGTAACAATTCTGCCGCATTCGCTCTCCTTTGTTTAATTATCTCGATAAGCATTAAGACTTGGAGAAAAGCGTACTGGACATAGAAAATGTGTTTCAATTTTCTTTACGACTACTGTCCGAAACGTTCTTAACTCCGGAAAATATGCATAGAGTTGCGCTAGAGATGCATGCAAGAACGCATGTAGGTATCCATGGAAAGTGTTTGTAGGTTCTGTTCGATTTCAACCAAATTGGACTGATTCGACAAATGTTAATAAAACGAAAATTTGTAGCTGTTCGCAAGTTGT